TACAACTGTACATCAAGCGAAACAAGGTTTCTACAACTGTACATCAAGTGAAACAATGTCTCTACAACTGTACATCAAGTGAAACAATGTTTCTACAACTGTACATCAAGTGACACAATGTTTCTACAACTGTACGTCAAGTGAAACAAGGTTTCTACAACTGTACACCCAGTGAAAAAAGGTTTCTACAACTGTACATCAAGTGAAACAAGGTCTCTACAACTGTACTTCAAGTGAAACAATGTTTCTACAACTGTACATCAAGTGACACAATGTTTCTACAACTGTACATCCAGTGAAACAGGTTTCTAATACTGTACACCCAGTTAAATAAGGTTTCTACAACTGTACATCAAGTGAAAAAAGGTTTCTTCAACTGTACGTCAAGTGAAATCATGTTTCTACAACTGTACACCCAGTGAAAAAAGGTTTCTACAACTGTACATCCAGTGAAACAAGGTTTCTACAACTCTACACTGTATGCATGTACGTTTAGTGATACAGTGATTTACAACCGCCCCAGGACCCCCAGTTAAATAAGGTTTCTACAACTGTACATCAAGAGAAACAATGTCTATACAACTGTATATCAATAGAAACAATGTTTCTACAACTGTACATCAAGTGAAACAAGGTTTCTACAACTCTACACTGTATGCATGTACGTTTAGTGATTCAGTGATTTACAACCGCCCCAGTGATGCAGAATATTTATTACTTAGCAGTAAGTCATAAATATTTTTAAATTAATATTTTTACTTTCAATGATAAAAAAAATACTACAACTTTACGTCCGTTGAATCAGGACTTTCTAATCTTTGCGTTCTGTGATTTCTGTGAAACAGGGGATAGCACCGATACAGGACCTTTAAGACTAGCTTAAATTTATGCCAAGCGATATGACTTTTACAACTTTGCACTCAGGTTACAGAACTTTAACAACTTTATGGCCTGCGATAGACCTTGACAACTTTACATTCAGTGTTATACTATTTTTTTCGACTCTACATCTAGTATGGAAGTCGAGGGATAAAGAGAAAATAAAACGTTTAGTCACAAATTAAGACAACTACACTTGCACTTCTCCTTTCCCCTATTAAGCTGTTGGACACGTGGGATGTTCCATATTGAAACTGCTCAAGCGCAACTGGATATAAATACCAGGTCACCCACATAAGCCCGCCGTATCGCTTCGTAATCCTTTGACACGCCGGTAGTAGTAAGGTGTATAATGGACTCTAAAGTTCCAGAAACTGTAAAGTTAGAAGTGGAGAAGACCAATAAATCCGGATCAACATTTAGCTCATCAGAAACCCTTGATAATGAGAGGGAACACTGGGCCGGCAAGTTAGATTCTCTACTTTCCTTTCTGGGATATGCTGTCGGACTCGGAAATCTCTGGAGGTTTCCCTACCTTTGTATGAGGAACGGCGGAGGTAAGATTTCTTTCTATATATACTAAAATAGTTTGAATCGTTTAATTAGTTAATGTATCAATGGAGTTACTTTTATGATTAAGGTAATTCCAATATGGCTTTCACACCAAACTGTATATCAAATTCAATTATGCATTCCGTTAGCATTAAACAATCCCTGTCACAAAAAAAAATCCTCCTCCAATATTTCTCAAACATAATTGAGGTACATGCACAATTAATTTCAGATTTTTTTTTCAATAACAGGTGAAAAAAATCATTTTTTATATGTTCATTTTCCAAGCTGAATACTTTAAAAGTCACAATTCAGGAAAAAAATCCATTTTAACTTGTAAATATGCATTTGTCGAGAAAAATGTAATTCGATTGGATATTTTACTATAATTCATAAAGCTAACAAGACTTTTGATACAAGTCAAACAATATTACCTGAGTGAGAACTGTAATGGATGTGAACAGGTAAAATCTCACTAGCTTTGCATCCTTTTTTTCCAACCTCAGTCAGCCTTGTTCGCTTTGTGCTCAGGGGAAATATATACCATTATTCTGGAGATTTGACACATTTTCTTACATTTTTCTCGCCAAATGCATCTTCATGGACATCCAAACCTTATGATATTTACAAGTTTGATATGGATTTTTTCCTGAATTGTGACTTTTATTCAGCTTGGAAAATGATCATATAAAAAGTAAGTTTTTTCATCAGTTATTGAAAATTTTTCTGAAATTTAGTGTGCATGTACCTCAATTATGTTGGAGAAATATTGGAGGAGGATTTTTTTGTGACAGGGATTGTTTAATGCTAACGGAATGCATAATCAAATTTGATATAGTTTGGTGTGGCAGCCATATTGGAATGACCTTAAGTTTAATTAACAGAAACGTCAAGAAATCGGAAAATGTCATGGATATACATCATGATGAACTAATAATAATAATATTTATTCAGGTAAAATAGGCATGTTGTTACAAAATATCACAATTTAGAATAAAACACATACATTTTATAATCTAGATCACAATGCAGCTTGTAAATAAAAAAGTGTATTTTTTTAAAAAGACTGAGATTGATAATAGATCTATCATAATAAAAGGCTTCTTAATTCACCTTGACATATATCACAGAGTATAAAAATCTAAAAAAAAGTCTGATATCACTGTAAAAAAAATGGCAGATATTACTATAAACTGAGACAGACTTTTTTTAGTATATGAAGGTAGATATAAATAAGTCACATAATAGGAGTGGAGGTGAGTGCCATTTACCTAGGATTACCCATAAAAGCCACAAAATTGCTGATTTCCAATGGGGTCCTTTAAAAAAAAAAGAAATCAATCTGGTAACGGTTTAGATAGCACAGAATAGGATATATGTGTATCATATTAGATAATTGATTGGTAAAATTGTATTTCCATGTATATAGCAAACATTACAACATACATAATAATATTTTTTTTATAGTGGCGGACAGCTTCTTATAGTAGCAAACTATAAAATATTGTTACATAGTTATTTTCAAAGATATCATAATAAAACAAACTAAATATACTGACAGATCTTTGCATTACTGTTTATAGAAAGGCATGAAAAAATACAATTTGAAATGATTGTGCAATGCCGCAAGTCAAGCTTCCCAAGGGTTGGGGGTCCCCCTACCAGCGAGGTCTGCTCGACCTGCGGCATTGCACGGGTCTATATATGTATTTTGTGACAAAGAATGATGAGGTAATACATCTGTGCTAAATAGCAGACAAAGAGATCATCAACTTCTCTTTTTGCTTGAAGCGCAAGATGTTTTTAAGCATTGGTTTTGAATTTATGTTTGTTTTTTGATATTTTTGATATCATCCGGTAAAGAGTTCCAATGTTTAGCAGCCGAAAAGAAAAAAGTAGATACACAGTTTTATCATCGCCTCGAAACCAACGCCTCACTGCTACCAACAAGTGTGTAGAGTTACACCCCTCACAGCGGTAACACGCCACTAACTACGGTGGCGGACGTTTGCCAACCTTGTTTCGTCTTTTCGGGGCATTTTCGGGGCGAAAAGACGAGAGATTCAACAATTTGCTTAAATATCGTGAAATCGTCTTGTCGAGGCGAAAATAAAAAAAGGAAATAACGAAAAGACTAGATTCTACCAACAACAAAAAAATCGAAAACGAAAGGTTGCTTAGTGGCGTGCATTTTTTTCGTCTATTTGCATGTGATTTTTCGTCTTTTCGGGGGACGTTCGAAAAGACGAACGAAGGAGATTTAAGCAAATCATAAAATATCGTCTTTTTACCCAAAAAGACGAAACAACGAGAATTAAAGATAAACAAATCTAGTCTTTTCGGAGCGAAAAGACGAAACAACGAGTTGGCACAAATCAGCCACCGTACCTAACTGGTATTTTTTCACATGCGATCTGACGTAATACACCAACAGAAACCGCCATACCGCTATTTTATAACCCAGCGCGCAACCAGGCCAGATGTTTTGTATCCTATAACTAGGTCATTTAAAATTCCATGTCAGGTCGGACGGAGTAAATAAAATCCATTGAGTACATCAATTTGTCCTACAGTTGAATCCTATAATATTTAGTTTTTGGAAATAAAAGTGGTAAAATCTATCAAACATTCTAAGCTAAAACGACCATATCATCTAGACTGGCCCAGTTTTTAGAGTTTAGCTTTTATAAAAGGAGCTTATAATTGTGGTCTCTTTTTGTCTGATTCTAGATACAGGCCAAATGGGTACGAGTTTTGCAATCAAAAGCCAAATCTTAGGGTGGCCCACGTCTCTAGAATATTGAAACATTTAAAAAAAAAACACACACATCTAATAACAATTTTGATCACTTGGATGTCTGACTTGACTCTGGAGCTTGGCTGCCTGTGAAACCACTAACTCAGCAGGACCATTAGCCACACCTTAGTAGTATTAATCGCCCTCATTACTACAGGCTGGTCAGTACCTCACTGATGACTTGTTTCACTCTTTTTATTGACCACACACTGGTGGAGTAAACTAGTAAATAAAGGGCCTTGAAATTGATATTTTTGGATTGGTCTATTTCGTCATGGTTGTTGTGACATAATGTTGATGTTAACAAAATACATGTAATGATGCTATGTATATATGTTTTAACACATTTTCATGCAAACTACTGGGTATAATAACTGATCCAAAAAGTTATCATAGCAGTTTCATTTACCCTCAGCAATCTTGTCAGTACACAGCTTTTACATCCTTCTGAGAAAGGCTTTCAGCTTGATCATTCATCAAAGCTATCAATGGTGAGCAGTTTGTACAGTTTATAAAAAACAAGGATAAATCTCAAAAGTGTAGCTTTTTCAACTTCCAGTTGGTGAACAAAATAAGGCATCCTTTCCTGCAAAGTAATTTTGACCATCTCTTCTTAGTAAGGTCGAATTTTGAAAAATTAAGTCTTCTTGATGATTTGGTAAAGGTTTCATATGCGAAGCCGTTTGGCTTTTTACCCATTTAAATAAAGATATCCGTATTTATTGCATAATTATAGATATCTATATTTGAATTACAGATACCTGCAGTTTAAATAGAGTTATCTGTTATTATAACATAAAAACAGATATCTCTAATAATGATATAAAGACAGATATCTGTAATTAAAATGCAGATATCTGTATTTTAATTACAGATACATTCAGTTTAAATAGAGTTATCTGTTATTATAACATAAAAACAGACATCTCTAATAATGATATAAAGACAGATATCTGTAATTAAAATGCAGATATCTGTATTTTAATTACAGATATGTGTAATTTTGCAATATCAAATACAGATGTCTACATTTCAAATAAGATATCTGTATTTTAAATACAGCATTTATCATTTTTACATCATTTAAGACACCTAACGATCAAACACTATTTTTGTTATCAATACCTAAGTATTTATCAGTTTCTACATTTAGTTTATGTTTATATTCTTATCAACTGTTCAAGTATTGACTATCAATAGACTTTTTAAAGTTACAGTAACTTTCTAAACAAATCTCATCACAGCCATATTTGTATAGAGACCTAGACGAGACAAGTTTAGACCACGTAAAGAGATGTTTGAAGTACGAGGTAGTTAACACGCGGTAAACACTAACACTTATTTGTTACCAGCCAATGTAAATTCTGATGTATTTTAATGCAAGGAACATTAATGGCCACATAAGCAAAGTCAAAATGTCCAGTGTATGTGGGATATTTTTTCAGACAAGGAAAGTTGCTTGTATTATTTGGGGTCGCCTTTATCCAGTGTCTGTCTCAATTATTTACTTCTTCATAGGAATTATTTGAAAATGAATTAATGCCTTATAGTCAAGATTAGACATATCTCTTCTCGGTTCTATATTACAAGAGTTGTATAAAGGATTAGTCTGGTTACATGGACCAGGTTATACATATCTTTGTGTGGTAGTCAAACAGCTGACTGCGTATGCGCTAAGACATATGCTCAATTATTATAATTCTAGTAACTATATGAATAATGAATCCATGAACTGAGTGTGTCTACCATGAAAAGTCATTTTATTAGATTAAAAATATTTTAAAAAGAAGCCTCTTTCCTTTTAACTGGCCTTCGGGTCTGCTGTAAAGCGGTGATTCTGTGAAGCTCCGGGCTAGTTGTTCTCGTGCTGGCTTCATAAAAGCAGGAGTTCCTCAAGGTTCTATTTTAGGCCCATTATTATTCTTAGTATATATTAATGACATATCTGATGTATTGCTTTCTGTCTTTAGACTTTTCGCAGACGATACTTCTCTCTTACACATATGTTCTTCCTGTCAAGAAATAGAGACTAGCAGATTTCAATGCTAGCAAGACCAATGTTTTATTTATCTCTTATGCGATAGAACTAGATGGAGATTTAGAATTAAGATTTAACGACCAATTGTTGAATTTTAGTGATCAACCAACACAGGCATTTGGGTGTAGTCTTCAATTCTGCAGGTAATTGGGGGATAATATTTTAGCTAT